AAAGCTCAAATCATCTCATGTTTCCTTAACGTGACAGTGAGTTCACTGTACTCAAACAACCTCAACAATCAACAGATCTCAGTTCAACACCTTCGAGATCTGGTGAAATGGGGAGATTCCCAACACTGATGTGCAGCAAGTCTGAGACGCTGTCGTGTCAATATGGTCCAAAAATCAGAGAAATGTTTCCAGCAAGTTGTTAAATCTCTGCAATGAAGAACTGAGGCAGCGCTGAAGGCAAAAGGGGGGGTGGGGGAGGGGGACCAAACCAGTAGCAGAAAGATGTTGCTAATGAAGTGATCATTGAAGATATCAGAGTGGCTGTAGCTCAGGAGGTAGAGCAGGTCATCTACTAATCGAAAGGTTAGTGGCTCAATTCCTGTCTGCTCCAGTCTGCAAGTCGAACATCCTTGAGCAAGATACTAGACCCAAGTTGCTCTCCAAGGCATCGATCAGAGTATGAATGTCTGTTAAGGTTACACAGAAAGCACTTATGTAGAGAAAGCATAGATAAAAGTGAATGAGGGGAGTAGTTTAATGTGCTTTGTGTGCTCAGGTAGAATAGAGAAGCCATATATAAGAAACAGTCCATTTACTCTGTTTTTTTTAAAGAACGTATTATTGTTAGGGATTATTCTGTCATTGCTTTTTAACCTCCCTACGTGTCATTTCTGATAATAACTACTGTAGCAAAAGTAAAGGTACAGCTGTGAGGGGAAACTGTGACTTCATGGTTTTGAATATATCAAAGAGGGTCTGTTGTAAAAAAGGTGGGATGGAGCTGAAGCGGGGTTTAGAGGGGAGTGGGGTTGGACAGTTGGAGGTGGGCGTGTGAAAGGCTGGACCAGTCAAAGCTGGAGTTTAAATATAGGCATCAGAACAGCAGTCACTTGTTGTTTGGCTCTTTTTTCCCCCCCAGCCACCAAACGGACCAGTTTGTGTTGTTGACTGGTTTAAAAACCTCTAGTTCTGAATGTTCATGGCGCAAAACAGCAAACATCTGGCATCACATATCAAACTGCTTTTAGACTGACTAAAAAACCTATATAAAATACGGCTGCTTTGAAGTGCTCTACATGACTTTCCAACGCCCCTTTCCAGCTGGGTGTGGCCTTTTTTTCTTCTTCCCAACAAGCTTTCTCATATCTTAGACTGAACTATGTTTTTAAAAGTCAAAAACAAAAATGTGAGGCCACTTAAGGCAACTTTTTCAACTTCTTCTGGTCTTAAAATATTTGAGATTTCCCGGGTCCAGTTTTCCATGAGAACAGCAGCAGTCAGACCATATGGGAGCCAGATCTGTTTGAGAACAGTTCACGGGCTGTTTGTGTGTTTGCTGCCAGCATTTCACAGCTCCGTCTAAAAGCACCTCACTTACGGAAAACAAATTCTCACACAGGGGCTGTGTTTAATGGACTGACGAGGCTAAAAAAACAAGTGAAAACTGATTTGATATTTTCCAGCTCGGGCGAATAACAGCACAAGGAAAGCAGTGTTTGCCCATTCAGGCGTAGTCTTGATTTAAATGCAGGTTTTTAACATCTCATGGGATTTACTCCAATTTCAACCCTGGTGCTGAAAATACAAAAAGACTGAAAATGGTCAAATTTAGAAATACTGAATGCCAGCTGTTTGCATGACGTCCTTCATGTATAATAACTTTGTACATTTAATGAAGCAATGCAATATTTCACATTTATATAATTAAAATTATGTTTCAAGAGTACAGAGGTGTGAAATTAATGCTCTTTTTCAGCATTAGTTTATTAGTCCAAGACCTATTCACATGAAATTTTCAGGGTTCAAAAACACGTTAAATCTCTGTTCAAAACTGCAGAAAAATGAATTTTACTCCCACTCTGAAGCTAAAATCTGTTTTTTGTTTACTTAAAGTGCACATAGATGAGGATTGACACCCTGGATGTGTGATCGGAATTCTGATTTATTAGAGAGAAAGGATCATGAAATTCCAGATAAGTTTCTGGACACATGAGCCAAAACTCAGACCAAGAAACTCTACGACCTTCCTTGAACCATTCACACAGTAGAAAACTAGAAATCACAGATGCTCAATCTGTGATTGGATGGTTGCACATCTGTAAAGGAGACTGAACGTTGTATACAAGCTTTGGGCAAACAGACAGCTTCTTACTTATTTCAGGAAGACAAAGCCAAAAATGCATCGTGCGGTTGTTCCAACAGCATGACTTCAAAGTAAAGGAACATCTAGAACTAAACTGATCAGTCTTCATTCCAGACTCGTCACCTACCAGAAAAACCTGGAGCATAATCAAAGAGGAAACCCAAGAGAGGACGCCCGGAACGGCGAAGCAGGTGAAATCATCAAGTAAGAATGGGGAAACACTCTGTTTTTCATGTTGCAACAGAGTGTTACACTTTGATAAATTTGCACCCATCTTCTTGTTCTTTCTTAAATAAACACGTTGTTGAGCAGATATTTAAAAGGCAATCACATTTTTCACCTCTCTGATTTTATTTGTTGTTTTGCACCCAGCGTTTCAGGAAACAGAGTCCACGGCATGATGCAGAGAAGAGATAAAAACTAAAGTTACACTGTGTTAGGCACTCTGGGCATTTTGATGAAGGATGCTGCAAATAAAGCTTATAGGAAATCAAAATTAAAATGATTAAAATGTCCATCACACAGACTTGGAAGCAAACACAGTCGAGCGTAAGCGGATTTGTAGCACAGGCTGTTTCTATATCAGAGCACAAAACGGAAATTTGTATCCTGTTGGGAATGGTGAGAAAGGAAAGACAACGCCAAAGTCAACCCCAAACCTCCACAAATAGCCTCTAAACGTATTAAGAGCTTGCTGTTTTTTGCTTTCTTTTTTAGAGATGATTTAATTTTATGTTTAAACGAGAGGAAATGCCCTGCTGCTCGGTGTTTGTAGCAAAAGAGTAAAATCAGTAAATACAAAAACCTGCCTCCAAACAACATTGTTTTAAAATACAAGCTTGGACACATACAGTAAACATTGGCTGTAAACCACAAGTTCAAATGTCCTGAAGGAAATCCTTTCATAACTGTTCCTACAAAAACATTGCTGCTTAAATCTAACACACTCAAAAGTTGAAGATGCAGTAAGAGCAAAAACATAGAAACAAAGCTTTTATCTGGTTACCTGCTGAAGTTTTTCCTCAGAAATATCACATCAGCCTAAACCAAGCGTGCCTCAAGAACACACTGATCCTGAAACCAATCATCTGTTTCATGACGAGCACAAAGTGATTAACTAAAAAGAACAGTCTGTGGCCATTGAGGCCATTTTGTTCACATAAGAAAATAACTATCACTCTCTTTTTTCTTTTTTTTTTAGATACCTACGACAAAATATTACTTCCTTTGTTTCCGAATCACTTCAGCTTCACCCCAGAAATAAAAGGTGCATCTTATTTCACCCCAGTTTGGTTAAATATGTGTACTTACTGTGTTGCTTCATTTAGATCACTTTAATAAGAGCCACTGGTGAAAAACATAACAGTGAACACAAATCTAAGTTCTTCACACGATTTATGGGACAACACTATTTCCTCTGCATTCACAAAGGACGGTTAAACTCGCTTTACATTATACAGCCTGCTTTGAGCATAAGATATTCCACTTCCTGTCAGTGTGAAGAAGTTTAACCGAGACATCTTAATGTGAGAAAAGCACATCGCAGTATTTATAAATGATTAAGACATGCTGCTAGAGTAAATGAAAGAAATCCTTCAGTGTGAGTAAATTAATGTGTAAAATTAGGTCTGGTAACTAATTTCACAGACTTTGCAGCAATTATAAAATCTCAGAAAGCTTTTATTTTATTCCACTTTTAGGCTAGTTTAGTATTTAAAAGAAAAAAGTAAAATAAAGAATTACCGGTTTTGAAAAGCCTGGGAAGTTTTATCATTAGCAAAAGTTGTAAAACTTATGAAAACATAAAGTCCAACATTTATGGGGTCCAGATTGGAGTCTTCACCTGGCTAATTCTGTGGCTAACCCTGCTGTAATATTTCCATTTGACCACAAGGTCTGGGTTACTTCACCCAACTTCTTGAGAAAATTAGATGAAAGCTGCGAAAACACCAGCACAACCAGTCTAGAATGATATGAGATGCTGTCAAAAAAGGCTTTGCAACTCTGCCAAGAAAATAAATCTAAATTTTAAAACAGTGACCAATTTGAATTAGGCCTCTTCCTTATTCAAGGTCATCTCCTTGTGTCATTTCAAGATCAGGTCACTGGGTGACTTCTTCCTTTTCCCTTAAATGAAATTCATGTTGAAGGATCCCCTTTTTGAAGAAACCGAGTGCTTAGTCATTGGGCTGATGGGGTAATATCAATAATCACGTCACACGAAACAAGCAGAGTTCTGTTTTTGTCTTTATTTAATAAGCTGGTTCATAAATAATCACACATAAAAGATTCTTTCAGTAGTTACAAAGTGGGTAGCAACTTAGTTAGCGCCTGGAGAAAAAAAAGATAAAACAAATGAAGAGAAGACTGCCAGCGGGTGGGGGAAAGTTTATGGAGAGCGATCTCAACAACTCGGGAGTTCATAAAGCGGAGCAGAGAAGACGGAGCCGACGGGAGGGTTAAACATCCGACTGGTGTCCCATCACGTTCCCGGCAGCCGTCGCTCATCAGCAGACTAGCAGCGGACAAAAAGGCGGCATGCGTGTCGCCGTTCAAAGCACATGCCCGATTTTTGTTTCTGTTCTCCAGTGTTTTCAAAACAGTCTTGAAATGAAACAAAGGGAAGGGAATGTATCGGGAAATTTAAAAAAAAAAAAAAAAGAAAAAAAAAAGAAAGAAAAAGCACATGCCCGATTTTTGTTTCTGTTCTCCAGTGTTTTCAAAACAGTCTTGAAATGAAACAAAGGGAAGGGAATGTATCGGGAAATTTAAAA